CTTGCAGACAGTTAAGTCAGCAAACTGTGCACCTGGGTTCTTACAGGGAGCTGCTGTCTCGGGTGTGTCCACTGGGAAAGCCCTAAACCCTCTAACTCTGTGTAGCTTTAAATGTAAAGGATCTGAGACGCAAACTGCTTCCTCTGCAATGCTCAAGGAGCCCACGGACAGCACAGCTGTTCCGTCTTCTCTCTGCCCCGTCGTCGTTATTTCAGGCCTGGAGGACTGAGCTAGAGGGTGTTTCACGCAGCTCGTGGGCACCGTCCTGGTGAGGCATGAGTCACTAGCTCCCCAGCTCCCGGCCGTGGGCGGGTGTCGTCAGACCTGATTCCCGGGCGCTCAGCTGTGGTCAGCAGTCAACAGTGTCACAGGACACAGGGAAGCCAGCGGCGTCAGTTGCACGGCAGCAGGAGCCGTGAGCGCACCTGTGAGCCGAGGCACCGTGAGGCCCCCCCTCCCCCCTGCTGGCTGTGACAGGAGTGTCAGATTTTATCAAACCCGCCGTCCTCCCCCTCCTGTGAACTGTCATCGTGGTGCCGCCCGCGCCTGTGGGGAGATTCTCATTTTGTCGTGTTGCGGCGACTGCCAGCCCACATCTTTGGGGGCCTGTGGCCTCAAGCATGCGGCCAGTCCATGAGGTGGTCTGTGTTTTGCTTGGCGACATTCCTTTGGCGCTGCTGATTAATCCGGAAAGGCTCGATCCAGCGGGAGCGGGGACAGCCCCCCGGGGTGGGCCGCCTGGGCCCCGCACAGTGGCAGCGATGCGTGCTTCCAGGGTGAGTCCTCCGGCTCCTCTGCGGCTCCTCAGGGCGGCAGCACGAGCAGAGGCGTCCCCGGAATCCTCCGAAGGACATGCACATCAGAGCGGCGTCCATTTCCTGTTAAAGGGGCGGGGGGACCACAGTCCGTCACCGCGGCCCACACCACCGCTGGGCTTGTTCAGGGGTAAACACCATGTGTGGACAAAGTGAGGTGCTCATGTCTGTGTGGGCTGCGTGGGCGCAGACGGGCGTGGTCACTCTTCCGCGGGCCCTTTGGGGGGGTCTCTGCTGATGCGTGGGCTCTTTTCAGCGTCAGCCTTGGTGCCCGCTCAGGTGATTTGTGGCTTTTGAAGCATGGGGGCGGGGGAGGTGTTTGGCGGATGGTTTTGCTTTCCAGTAGCTCTTTGTGTGACTTGCCTCTCACAGTGGGGGGACCCGTGTGGGCTGATTTGGGGGAACTGCGCTGGGGAGAGGTAGGACGTTGCTCTCCCTTTGCACTTAACGCCATGGGTCAGTTTCCGGGACTGGGTCCAGATCCCGAGCTTTTTCCTTGAAAAGGTTGATTTCATCAGGTGAAGCAGCTGACCGCGAATCACTGAGATGGAATGTAACTAAAATAGATGAAGGTAAGGTTTCCGCATCCACCAGACGGCCCCCGTTTCTCTTCCCCATGTGCCTCTCTTACAATCCATTCTTCTAAGTGAGATGCAGGCGCGCTGATGGCATGAGCCGAGTGGTCGTTGGTGGCGGAAGGTGGGCGACGTGGGCAGTGAGAGTGGTGGCTTCAGTAGGGGAGGGCCCACCGACGGTGCCGCGGCCGTGTGTGGGGAGCATGCTGGTGCTGCGGGAGGACTAGCTCATCTGACCGTCACACCTTTCCATCCTGGGATCGCAGAGAGTGCAGAGCTGCCAGGCCACCTGTCTGAGGCCACACAGTGTCCTCGGAAGACCTAGGGTTTGCAGTTAGGCATTGGGGCCCCAAAAGCCACACGTTAGCCCCTAAAGGTTCTCCTCTAATTCTGAGCTATGGCTGCATCCATTTACCTGGGGGCATGTAAGATCTCCGCGGCCAGGAGTCAGGGGACTCCCGTGCCCTTACGATCTCGCGCCACGCTCCCCTTGGGACTGGCCAGATTCTCTCAAGGGGCCAGTGGGCAGGTGTGCTGTGATTTGCTTTACCTGAGAAAGACAAGGATGGATAGATGCTCTTGGGGACATGCCAGACGAGGGAAGCTGACAACCACTTCATCAGGCACCTTCCTGCAGGTCGCGAGTCGTTGCTCCCTCACGGGTGATGTGTGTGGAGCTTGCTTCTGCGTTTCATCACTGGAAATGCAGTGGGTGCCAAAGGATGGAGGAGCCCGGGCCGATGGTGGCTGCGGAGAAGGGAGGTCGGCTGGCATGTGGGCCTTGAGAGCAGCCAGGACAGCCTTTCTCCTTGGCAGGCGTCTGAAGCCATATGATTCCCGCCCGTGCGTGGCGTGAGCGTGAGCATGAGTAGAGTGTGACGTCAGAGCACTCACTGTACTCAGAGTCACCAGGACAGCTGGGGACGTGGAGCCCAGACAGTAGCTCACATGGGATGTGAGCAGAAAGCAAGTGGAGACCTGGCAGACCCAGGCTGTGGCCAGTCGCTGTCCACGGTGGGCCATTCGTTGTCCCCACTGCTTTCTTTACCTTTCGCAAGGATGTCGTTCTCCTGTCTTGGTGAGAACCTCAGCGTACGATGGAAGTTGTGTTCAGGTTGCTGCATCCCTTTCATGTCCTCTGGAGTAAACCCGCCCTGATGGCCATCTTGTTGGCTCTGATAGTGTGAGTGTTCTGATGTTTCTGGATTTCTGCCTTCAGCGGGAGGTTTCGTACCCCAGCCTCCCCGTCTGTGCTCACCCCGTCTGACCTCTCTGTGGTCACAGCCCACCCCTGGATGCCCTGATCCTGCGTGAGGCTTTAGCAAAGGTGGCTCAGTGTCCCCGTACCGGGTGATGGTAGGAGTAACACAGCTCAGGTTGTCGCCACTGCCACTCTTGGGCAGGACCTCATGCCAGCGGACGCTTGAGGCAGCGTCACCTATGACTTCCAGCTTTCCTCAGCCAGCCTCAGGTCGCTCCGTCCTAGCCTCGTCAGTGGCACGTTCCGTCCCACACACCCTAAAAAATGGGCTCCCAGCCCTCCCTGCCTGCTCCTGGTCAGCGCCTGGCAGGTCCTGAGCCTTATGCACCACTTGTGCCCTGGCATCCACAGTCCTCGCAGGTTCATATCTCGTTGTAGAACCGGACAAACCTTTACAGATTTCCCCTGTTGTATGGCTGTTGGTTCGGAGCAGTGTTTGTGGGGAAGGGGCAGGTTAAACTTGACTCACTCCAATTGGTGATCAGCTCGTTGTCTCTTTAGGATACAGACGTGTGATGCAAGTAAGGACACTACGTAGCGGATGTGGTTTCCTGCTGGGCCCCTCAATGTGTGCTTATTACATATTCTTATAATATCCTTAGACCACCATTGGTAAATACCATTATTGACGTTTCATTA